TTGTTATGAAAATCGATATAAAATGCCATTTTAAAAATTGTAATCAACATGCTTTATTATGCACGTACACAATTTTCCGATTCAAGTAACCAAATATAGTGCGTATCGGGTTCTTTCAGGTTATTTAAATCTGGAAAACATTTGAACTTCAGAAAGGGATTATGAATAATTAAGATTATTTAACTCATCGCATTAAGGTGAGGCTTATCAGTTTTGGCTGGGAAGGTGGGGGTAGCCAAATGGTTAAAGCGTTGGGGTTCGGGCCCGGGTTCGATGCCTCAGATGGGTACAATGTGAGAAGTTCAGGGGTACTCGCTGTCATATTGCTGGAATATTTCTAAAAGTGACGCAAAACCATATTCAAGATTGTTATATTATTATTAAGTATAATGTTGTATAAATAAGTGTGCACACGTTATTTGTATGAGTTTGTATTGATGTACAGCGATAGGCAAAAGAAACTGCTATCGTAACAATTTATCGATAACCGAAATTACTTTTCTGACTTGTTCCGCGTGTTACCATGTTTTTTCAGGTAAACACTTGACTTGCCTTTGTGTGTGTTTGTGACAAGTGCCACGCATGGGATGATGCAATGGACAATGGACTGATTTTAGCAGAGATTTGTTAATCTTATTATGGAAAGGGTTTTGTCTCTTTTATTAACGGATTATACACTCTTCACACCGGACACAATAATCCGAAAACCTCGACATTTCGTTCTCTTTCAAAACTGTTTACTTCCCGTACATGTCACTATAATTTACCACCTTGAAGATCCTGGTTAGAATTGGTCTTCAGCAACCCATGCTTGTCTTAAGGGGCGACTAACGGGATAGGGTGGTCATGCTCGCTGACTTGGTTGATGCATGTCGCATCCCAATTGCGTAGATCGATGCTTATGATATCTAGCACTGGATTGTCTGGTCCAGACTCGATTATATACACTGTCAGGCGTCATATAAATGGAAAATTGATGCGGCGTTATGTTCATGTTTTTTTTTATAGCGTAAATTGTTTTAGGTTAAACCTCAAGTACACTTTAAATCTTCAAAGAAAGACCGGAAATAAATAATATGCTTTTACATTAGTTTCTATTTGACAGAACTTTTCATGGGTTTTTTTATTGTTCAAGTTAACAAGTGACTGTATCAGTTTTTATCGTCATTTGTGTAGTCTGACAATACAACAACTCTTCTGTGTTGGGTAAAAACAAATGAAGTGCAGAAAAGCACATGCCACTCAAAACCCCTGCCTTGCATTGTGTTGGTGTTGTTTGTGATGGCGTTGGCGTTGGCGTTAGTGATGGTGTGGTTGGCGTTGGCGTTGACGCTTATGATGGTGTTGTTGGTGATGGCGTTGGCGTTGGCGCTTGTGATGGTGTTGTTGGTGATGGCGTTGGAGTTGGTGATAGTGTTGTTGGGGATGCCGTTGACATTGACGTTGGTGTTGGCGCTTGTGATGGTGTTGTTGTTGATGGCGTTGACATTGACGTTTGTGTTGACGTTGGTGATGGCGTTAGCGTTGGTTTATATAATAGTGTAGCCCAACAACGCCTATTTTAGATATCATTTACGCAAGCTTACTTTCATCTGTATGCTTTCTACCCGAAAATGTCTTTGATGATGTCAACATTGCCACAATTAGGCTTTCTTTGTGTTTGGGTGGTCGCAAAACTAACAAGGCATTAAGGTTTTTACCCAACATCGAACTGCCCCCTTACTTAAGGTATTGAAGCACACAGTCTTGATTTCTCCACAACCAGGTCGGATCAATGTATATGAACGCATTAGCAGGGACTACGGTCAATCTATGGATGGTTTTGTTCCCAAGGTTACTGTGTTATATGATCAATGCGAATGTATTAATAAAAGTACCTGCGGTCATTGTCACGCACTTAGAATTCAGTGAAGACAAATACATAATACACTTTAATATGCTCAAGAATACAAGTGTCAATATTGTACATACTCTCGTCAATTACAGAAACTTGTGTTGGGAGAATACGTAGTGTATGCGAATGTTATAAAGTTGTGTGTAGAGGATGTGTAGTGTATGTGGATGTTATAAAGTTGTGTGTAGAGGATGTGTAGTGTATGCGGATGTTATAAAGTTGTGTGTAGAGGATGTGTATTGGGTGTTGTAAAGTTGTATGTGGAAAATGTGTTGTGTATGCAGATGTTATAAGGTTATGTGATGGATGTGTAGTGTCGGTGAATGTTGTGTGTAAGGTTTGTGTGGTGTATGTTATACAGTTGTGTGTAGATGATCTGCCGTGTATGTGGATGTTATACAGTTGTGTGTAGATGATCTGTCGTGTATGTGGATGTTATACAGTTGTGTGTAGATGATCTGCCGTTTATGTGGACGTTATAAAGTTGTGTGTAGATGATCTGTCGTGTATGTGGATGTTATACAGTTGTGTGCAGATGATCTGTCGTGTACGCAGACGTTATACAGTTGTGTGTAGATGATCTGTCGTGTATGTGGATGTTATACAGTTGTGTGTAGATGATCTGCCGTGTATGTGGATGTTATACAGTTGTGTGTAGATGATCTGTCGTGTATGTGGATGTTATACAGTTGTGTGTAGATGATCTGCCGTTTATGTGGACGTTATAAAGTTGTGTGTAGATGATCTGTCGTGTATGTGGATGTTATACAGTTGTGTGCAGATGATCTGTCGTGTACGCAGACGTTATACAGTTGTGTGTAGATGATCTGTCGTGTATGTGGATGTTATACAGTTGTGTGTAGATGATCTGCCGTGTATGTGGACGTTATAAAGTTGTGTGTAGATGATCTGTCGTGTATGTGGATGTTATACAGTTGTGTGTAGATGATCTGTCGTGTATGTGGATGTTATACAGTTGTGTGCAGATGATCTGTCGTGTACGCGGACGTTATACAGTTGTGTGTAGATGATCTGTCGTGTATGTGGATGTTATACAGTTGTGTGTAGATGATCTGTCGTGTATGTGGATGTTATACAGTTGTGTGTAGATGATCTGTCGTGTATGCGGACGTTATAAAGTTGTGTGTAGAGGATCTGTAGTGTATGCGGACGTTATACAGTTGTGTGTAGATGATCTGTCGTGTATGTGGATGTTATACAGTTGTGTGTAGATGATCTGTAGTGTATGCGGACGTTATACAGTTGTGTGTAGATGATCTGTCGTGTATGCGGACGTTATAAAGTTGTGTGTAGATGATCTGTAGTGTATGCGGACGTTATAAAGTTGTGTGTAGAGGATCTGTAGTGTATGCGGACGTTATACAGTTGTGTGTAGATGATCTGTCGTGTATGCGGACGTTATACAGTTGTGTGTAGAGGATCTGTAGTGTATGCGGACGTTATAAAGTTGTGTGTAGAGGATCTGTCGTGTATGTGGATGTTTTAAAGTTGTGTGTAGATGATCTGTCGTTTATGTGGACGTTTTAAAGTTGTGTGCAGAGGATGTTATGAAATATGCACGAAGAGGATCCGTCGTGTATGCTGATGTTATAAAGTTGTGTGTAGAGGATGTGTAGTGTATGCGGACGTTATAAAGTTGTGTGTAGAGGATGTGTAGTGTATGTTATCACGTTGTGTGTAATGTACATGTCAGCCAGCATTGGATTTAATTCATTGGAGCTTATTCGCTAGTTTCTCTAGTTCAGGTGACTATCATATTACACATCGGAGTCTGGCTGCAGTCGTGACCCTATATATACATGTTGCTCGATAGCAAATTGTTTGCTGTTCTCTAAATCAGCTGGCATGCTGTACGAACTGTATGTGGAGGGATTGTTCAGTATTCGTTTGACAGCAAAATAATGCAATGTCACCACTGCCTGAGGTATACAATCTAATCAACAGTATAAGCTGAGTGCACCCGATGCGTTTCATAAGATTACAGCCAATCAGGTTCCCTGTGGAGCTAGTATGTTGCACATGTTTCTTTCCCCAACTGATATGACTACCATATATCCAAGGACTACGGCTGTGCTTTCCTTGCGACTAACAATCAGTTCATGATCACATCAATTTCTTATGCTCCTTCGGGACATTCTACTTCTACTAGATTTCTCTTTTGTATACGAATAAATACTCGTGAATAAATGATCTCTCTCACCTGAATTTCTCTTTTGTATACGAATAAATACTCGTGAATAAATTATCTCTATCACCTGAATGGTAAATGATCGATAGATAGGGAGACATGGGGACCTTGCAAACAGTTCCTGTGATGTTAGAACTGAACAGGCTTTTACCGTGACGATGATGATCACTATTTGGTTAACCGACGCCGCAGTTGAGTAATAGTGAGATGTTGTGTAGTTTTTGAAAAACGCTTTGAGCATCAACCACGTGCACTGTAGGCAGAAACATATGTAGCTGACTGTTATTTGTTTGTTGATTTGTTGTTTAACGCCTCACTCAGCAAAATTCCAGCTATATAAGGGCGGTCTGTAAATAATGAAGTCTTGACCAGACAATCCAGTGATTGACATCATGAGCATCGATCCACGCAATCGGGATTCGATGACATGCATCAACCGATTCAGTAAGCCTGACCACCTGATCCCGTCAGTCACCTCTTACGACAAACATAGACGCCATGGTGTAGCAAGGGTAGCTGAAGACAGATTCTACCCCGGATCTTCACGAGTCTGTAGCCATGTTTAAGCGCTCGCGCGTCACTTCGAAGCCCCGGGTTCGAACAACGAAAGTTGTGGTTCAACGTCTTGAATAAATTTATTGGAAATGCCATTTTTCCGAGTCGCGATATCTGGTTGTGATGAGGGCTGACGGTTCCAATACTCGAACAGCGAACAATATTCCAGTTGTCATGGCGTTTCATGTCGTAATGTCACGGGTGGTGTCCCGGTCGGGGTAGGTGGCATGCGGGATTTCATGGACTTGGAGATAGAAATGTCGTATTAAGTTTGCAGTTGTCCTACCACAAATGCTTGACGATACATACATGTTTAACGTAATGTTTTCCGTCCTCCCACAGGAGTCGAAGCCGAAGAAAACTTGAGAAAGAACGCCCTGAAAGGAAGGAACATATTGAATTGGCTCTACCCTTCTCGCAACCTTTACATGCACATTCTCACTGGGACTTAAATGTGTTTGTGGGGTGTGTGTCTGTGTAAATGTTCATCGTGACATAAACTGTGTCCCCTTTAACGAGGGCGTTTCGTTGTCCACACTACACGTGTTAGGTCGAATTTACACGAACGGAGTATGTACACAGGGCGATATCTGGTGCATCCATACAACTGATGATACTGACAGTGGTTGTCGGGACAACCCCACCACAAAGGAAACTATAATGGACGGATAAGTGGGAATAAGTGTGATACTGACAGTGGTTGTCGGGACAACCCCACCACAAAGGAAACTATAATGGACGGATAATGTGCGAGTGGGAATAATGTTGTCTCTTTTCTCGAGTCTACCAGGGTCATGACCAACTTCAGCACCAAGGCATTTAGCACCACGTCGACAAGTGAGACTGTATCCCACTCCCAAGATACCAACCAGGATCTCGAAGATAAACTGCTGTGGATCCCCGGGGTTTTAATGGGCGTTGCAATGATAATGTTTCTCGGTGTTTCATTTTACCGATATCATATGCGCTTCCGCCGGAAACGGAAGTTGGCCATGGAGTATATCAGTCTGACTCTGTCCGCCAAACGACCAAGAATCGGAGCCCCACTGTGCTTCACAAACAATCTCCGCCTAAGTGAGCTGTGTAATTCTATGCCATCTGCACAGTTAAATGAGCTGGGTAATTCTATACACAAAGAAGAAAATGGCGACATCCATGTCAGAATTACAAATAACGAGACGTCAGATCAAAGGGCGACAACTCAATATGGCTTTACGTATTCAAACCCAACCTTTAAAACCGACGTTGGAGAGGATAGTGACTCTAACAGCTTAGTAAGCGCAGAGATACACAATTCCAGCACAACAACTGTTGATCTTGCTGAAGTTGATCTCAAACTTTCTGAACTTTGCGAACAGTGTGCCTCCAAGGCCCTAGCCATGGATGCCGCGGACCAGTCGAGGAGAACTAGTGCTGTAAGGAGTCAGTTTGCACCTATGGACGATTTTAGCGAACATCGACCAACATTCAACGCCGGCGATGACTTTGAAATGATGGATGCCTTCCATGGGCCGCCACGGGAACGGCGGCGGATGTCAGTGGATGTAAACCGCAACAAACGCCCAAACGGTAAGTCCTTTCTTTATTCTATAACTATTCACCCTTTGAAACGTTTCGTATTTTTGTGTGAAACATGCCTAAGAGACACGTTCACATCTAACTGAAGGCAGGTACCATATTCAGGAGAGCAACAAGGCAACGATATATGATACATGCTATATTGAAACAAATAATCGAACCATGGAGAACTTTTAGATATAGTAAGACTTCGATATAGTAATTAAATACTTGCGAACAAACTTACGACAAGCTTGAGCAGCCTGTCCACAAGCTGAGAGATGAAGGTGGTTAGTCCAGTGGTGAATGTGCTGGCTCTGGGTCGATTCCAGACATGGGTGAAAGGTGTGAAGTTTATTCTGGTTTCTCCCGCCGTGATATGAACTGAATTTTTGTTACTCATATAGGGGGATCAGGTCAAGGCCATAACTTGCAGTACCCTCGATTATCCAGTGTATCATATCGTATCGTATCGTATCGTATCGTATATCATATATCATGTCACGTCACGTCATGGCACGTCACGTCACGTCACGTCATGTCATGTCATTATAGATGACCCGGACCCATTCATCACCAAAGCTTCGAATGACACGGCGCTATAAACAGGCGTTTAATCAAACCTGAAATTATGTACCGGGCTAGAGATAGGAGAGCTGAATATATTGACGTCACTTCCGAAACGAATGGGTCAGAGGAATAGAATGGCGACATAATACCTGGATAATCGAGGATTATTCGTTAACTCCTTCGCGTGAAAAATAACTTTTGAATGAGTGGGTATGGTTTTAAGCCCCATTTAGCAATATTCAAGCAATATCACGGCAGGTGACACCAGAAATGGGCTTCACACATTGTACCCAGGTGGGGAATCGAACCGCGCCTTTCGCGTGACGAGCGAACGCTTTAACCATTAGGCTACCCAACCGCTCCTAATTTGGAATGAAGATAAGCCTAGAAGGTTGTTTATTTTCAGCCACATCTTCCCGAGGCATAATCAGTTAACTCCCTTGCCTTGGTGAAATGTGCAGAGCTCCAGATAACTTTTTAAGCAATTGAGTTTTTACTCTCGGGTTTCTATTTTAATTGAGTTATTACATTTTTCATCGGGTGACCAATATTTTTTCACTCATCTATTCATCACTCTATTGGGTTTTCCCAAAATTAGTGAACATTTTAAGATTTAAAAAATGACATAATGTTTTAGATGTATATAACCGTTAACTAAATATATAGGCTTGACTTGGAAAGTTAATCAGCTCGTTATTGTGTTTCGGAAATTAGGTCCTTTGTACGCATACAGAAAAAGCTTCATTGGGTATTTACGCGAGCTGTTTTTATTCATTTAAGTTTTTCATTTAATGCATGCATTTCTGTACGCATGTTAATTGAAAGTAATTGGGTTTTGAATATTTTTTTATTTTAAAAAAAATTATTATTATTATTTTATTTTTTTGAGGGGGGGGGGGGGGGGGGGGGGGGGGGGGGGCGGGGAGCGGGTATTTTACGCAAATACGCTGCTTATCTGCAGCTCTGGATGTGTAAGCCACTATGGTCATGAAGAGTTCATCACTGCCTGTATTGAATGTTTCTATGCCTTCTCTCAGGTACGCTGGTCCTGTGTCCCCTCTGTTTCGCTGGAAAGACTCATCACGTATGAAAATGGATTCATTTGTACTCACATCTTCTGTTGCAGTAACTAATTGTAGTAGTTTTGCAAACAGCTCAATGTACTAACCAGCATTAAAACCGATAATCACAATACGTTTCATTAACAGGGGTAGGTTCGTGCTCAAAAGGTGATATTGCTGTGCTAACACTATTGAATTACTAATGCTGACAAGTATATTACATAGCAAAATACCCACACCCTTCGCCTATAACATATATCTATATACTAGTATCTATATCACACAATAAACGCATGATCAACTTAACTCGGAGGGCAAGAAAACGATTTTTTTCAGCAAATATTTACACGCATGACAAAGAATAATAACTGCGTGTCACAGAGACGTTGTGTTTGATTGTGTCATGGCTTAATACACAGGACAACTTCATTTCATATTGTGTCCAGTTTTTCAATATTACAAAAATTTGAATATGCGTTTTCAAAATGTTTCAGTTTATAAACGCATGTGATATGTATGTTAAGATTTGGCAAATTTGTAATTAAATGCTAAGAATGACCGTGCTTGTGAAGGGAGATTTACTAACAACATCCCTGCAATGGAATATAGCCGAACTATTTCTTTGCTGTGTTCAGTTAATTCGCTAGCATAATGCAACTGCATTTAATGCATCATACTCTATTCACTCCGTACAATGCCTACTAACTCCTTGTCTTGTCTGAATAATACGTCCACGTGTGTTAGTACTCCCACATTAAACATACGTGTCTTGTGCTTTAATCATTTACGTTACCTTGACAACAATTGCAGCCTTCATTAGCGTAAACATTGTTCATGGGACGCGAGTTCAAAAACAAGGCCTGTTGTTTGCCTGAATATTTTACGGTGCTTCGGAAGACAGGAACATTGCACGTTCAGTTGACGTATCTATGCAACATGTATGCGGGTCACTTACACAAAGTACTTCACTATAGATCGTGTATAGATCGCCCCGTGTTGAGTACTTCAATTATACAATGTTCTATAACAAGTAGTGTTAGATATATACCCGCATTCTTCTCTCAACTAAGGGTGTTGAATTGTTATAGTCAACATGTACGATCTCGCGGAGCATATGCCATCGTCATGTAAGCTAACTGAAAGTTAATAAAAGCTGGGCGGTGAGGTAGCCTAGTGGTTAAAGCAACCGTTCGTCACGCCGAAGAGCCTGGTTCGATTCCCCAATGAGTGAAGCTTATTTCTGTGACCCCCGCCGTGATATTTCAGGAATAGCGTGAAAAGCGGCGTAAAACCATACTCACTCACTCTGATATATACTAGGGGACATTACACCTATCAATAATTCGTTAATAAGTCAAATTTAGGCCAGGAGGTTTCACTGCAACCACGACCGTCCAGACTGCCAGGGTAGTGCTGAATATTGTTCATTGTATCGGGACCGCCTCCGTGGTCTAGTGGTAGAGCAGCCGCCCGGAGAGCGGAAGGTCCGGTGTTCGATCCCCGGGCGCGTCATACCAAAAGTCGTTAAAAGATGGAACTTGTTGTTACGCTGTCTGGCGCGCGGCATTAGGGGCTAAACAAGGACTGGTCGGCTCGGAGTCAGTATGCTGTCTGAGTTGGGTATTCATGTTACACTGCGGCATTGTATATCAGTGTGCTAGCACTATAAATCGGCATCAGTCCGGACTAATTCAACTCCATTTCACCTCACCTCAATGTATCTAATGGGCTTCTATTTAACATGTTTAATAGCTGACCTCAGCTTTCATGATTTATGGCGCATCTAGCTTGAACATATCTTGCTTTCTTTTACCATCAGTAGCAGCCCCGCATCTTGCATCTAAAACATATACTACTCCACTTTAGATAGGGATACTTCTTATAGTTCCATGTTGCACAAAAAAATGATGCTCATGTCAAGTGTCTGTATAAATAGAATGACATTTCTGATTATACCTACCAAAAGTTAAGTAGTATATTCAGTTATTGTCACTAAGATATAGCATGTGACACGCTTCATATAAAATATTTAATCTTGGTGACACGTGAGGGTGTACGGATGAAACAATGAGAAATTACGAGGCATGTTTTCCACAAGCACGTCCGACATTCAAGGGAGATAACAACGCATGACTTGTCCTGACTTGGGATCAGCGAGTGACGTATTGGCAAGTTTCGTCCATCTGCAGCTGCGTTTTTAAGATGCACTTGATCATCTGTTTATTGTGTTTGAACTTTTATAATCTGTTCCGAAACATAGATGGATTTTAAAATGTTTTCGATCACATTGGAAACACATTGTAATAATTATAATTTCCTGCGTCATATGAAACATACCATGCAATCCATGTTTAAAAAAAGACATTGTATTAAAGTACCGATTGCCCAGGTGTGTTTGTTAGTATTCTCAGTGGTAAATAAGTGTCCCTCCCTTATCATTTTTGAGATAAGAAACATTTTTGTTTTGCAGTTCAACAGATTATCTCCATAACGAATCAAACCCGTAAATATTGGGGTTAAACTAGATCTTCAGCAACCCATGCCTGCTGTAAAAGGCGACTATGCATGTCGTAAGAGACGACTAACAGGATCGGATGGTCAGGCTCGCTGACTCGGTTGATACATGTCATCGTATCCTACTTGCGTGGATCGATGCTTATGGTGTCGGTTACTGGATTGTCTGGTCCAGACCCGATTATTTACAGACCGCCATCATATACAGCTGGAATTTTGCTGAGTGCGGCGATAAACAAACAAAGAAGCAAACACAACTAATCAAAGCTTTCGTCACCACTCGTCCCTTTCCGTAACCTGCAGAGCTTGTTCCGAAAACACACGAATAGCTCGTGAAGTACAACAAGGGTTGCATATATACAAGGTAGTGCACGTCGTACTCTGACAAAGTTACCTCCCATTTGTTTATCCGTTTTCAGCCTTCGTCACCGTTCGCCCCTTTCCGGAATGACACGCCTTGATGACAATATGTTTTCAGACTAAAAAAGAAAAAAGAAAATACACAAGCAAACTAAACATAACTTGTTTTGTTGAGAAACATGTTTATCGCATCTCGTAACGTGACGAAACTGACAAATGCAGAAGGGTGCGCCAATCAGAGCAAGATATCGCCTACACACACGACACTCCCAGTCCAGTATATCAGGTAATTAGCGGAGAATTGTAGCAGGGATAATGTGCGGAAATCAAGACCTCTTAGCTTGAGTGCAAAGCTAGTTATTTACAACACAAGCTGGTTATTTACAACAGAAGCTGGTTATTTACAGCAGAACCTGGTCATATACAACAACCATGGGAACAAATAGGTGCAACGAAGGAATGTTTATTGCAAGTTGGATAAGCTTTCTATTACAAACAGGGGCGGTCGGGTAGCCTAGTGGTTAAAGCGCTCCCTCGTCACGCCGAAGACCCGGGTTCGATTCCCGACATGGGTACAATGTGTGAAGCCCATTTCTAGTGTCCCCCGCCGTGATATTGCTGGAATATTGCTAAAAGCGGCGTAAAACCATACTCACTCACTCTATTACAAAGAAAACCCCAACAGAACCCCTTCTGACTGGTCAATTAGTGGGGGTTCGTGGAGCGGGCTTAGGATTGTATCATATTTCGCTGACCAGTCCCTTTTTAATTTTCAATTTCATAATATTTATAATCGAAATAATAGAACTGTTAGTGTGATATTTATTTTCTTTCTGTCATCTTTTCATCTCAATCAACCGATGCACCCCAATATATAAAATAATAATTAAAAAAAAGCTCTCCCAAAATAGTAACCAATGGTTATAACTACATACTCTTGAAAGTAATGTCTTCCTTTTTGTTCCTGGTGCTTCGTGTTGTGTCCAAGATATAATGGCGTCGAGTTTCTTTTTGTGCTGAAGCGACTGGGTTAACGCCGCCATTTGCATTATTCCAGTAATGTCATTGCGGGGACACCCATTGGATTCACACACTATACCAAGGCATTCTTCAACGTGACGAGAGACAGCTTTGCTGATAATGAGTCATTTTACAAAGCATCAAGTCCCCATCAGTACTACAGTAATTATTTTCGTCAGGGCTCTAGAGACGTTACAGTGTACATATGTAGCGTTAAGAGAGCGAGACGGTAAAGACAATATGCCTGTTGTGTACTGACGTTTAGATTGGAATTGGTTAAACGACTAATGCTGTGCCTTGGGAAATCTAGATCCTCGGGACCTACTTGCACAGGAGTGAATGGACAATGTCCAAAACATTTTATGGTAGAGTCAGAGATATTCCAGCTATTTCACACAGCGCGTCCGGGACAAACCACTGCTTGGGAGTCTAATATAAAAAGTCAACACCAGAGAATATCACATTCGTCACCACTCGCCCCTTTCCGTAACCTGCAAGAAGACTCGTCCCCCTATCGATAAATGCTATGTGCGAAAATACGACAAACCAATCTGAATGCGCGTTTGACTTCAAGTAACTCGGTCAAAGAATCCCTCAGGAATAATTTTCGATTTTATGTGTTGCATCTTAAAATAAAGCCTAGATACAGTTAAATGTGTTCAATCATACTGTATTAATACCGTCAGAACTAAAGTGTTTTAAATGGCATCTGGACGATATATGGCATGGGGAAATATACGTGAATCATTACGCAACAAGCTGACAATACCTGTTAACTATGCCCATTTGCGTTTGGGCACAACCCGGTCGCAAAAATGGCCACGATGGGGTCACGAGTCGCTATTCGGTTTGTCCCGGAACACTCAGTCTCGAGTATTTGCCGAAACAGATTCCACTGGGTTTAAAGGCAAAATAGTGAAGACGAAACACTGCCTTACCAGATATCGATGTTCGATTTCCCACATGGGTTCAATGTGTGAAGGGGCAGTTTGGTAGCCTAGTGGTTAAAGCGTTCGCCCGTCACGCCGAAGACCCGGGTTCGATTCCCCACATGGGAACAATGTGTGAAGGGGCAGTTTGGTAGCCTAGTGGTTAAAGCGTTCGCCCGTCACGCCGAAGACCCGGGTTAGGTTCCCCACATGGGAACAATGTGTGAAGGGGCAGTTTGGTAGCCTAGTGGTTAAAGCGTTCGGTCGTCACTCAGAAGACCCGGGTTCGATTCACCACATGGAAACAATGTGTGAAGACCATTTCTGGGGACCCCTGTCGTGATATTGCTGGAATAAAACGGAGTACTTTTAAAGCGGAGTAAAACCATACTTATTCACTCATTGTGAGAAGCTCATTCCTTGTGTTCATCGTCGGGTATTGCTGTAATATTGCTAAAAATGTCGTAAAACCTCACTCACTCACCTAAGGAATTGTTCAAAACCTGCATGGCCATATTTACATTATCCCATATTATATCAGGTTAAAACACTGATACAAGCTTCACACATCAAGGGTGGTACGGACATTATTATATTCGGTGATTAAACGTGTCGCCTATCACTGCAAGGAGTCAAGTATGATGGCAGTCGAGTTTTTGCAGCTTTCATATTAATGGCACTTTTCCTTATGGCAGACATACACAATAAGATATTTATGCAATTTTTGACACTTGAATCTATTTCAATTCTTCATGTGGAATATTGATAGGGCTTTGACACAGCCGTAAACACATTAGGTTCGTTTTGCCTATTACGTTAGTTAATGTCAATACCGTTCTGGGCCTTATAAATGTTTCATCTTGACACTAGCTTGTAGACCTGCGCGAAGTTGCTTTACTGATCCTGGCGGATGCTCAGTCGACCAAGGCGCCGTGGTTCCGTCCGTCATGCCAGATACTTATGATCGTTGGTTCGAATCCCAATTTGGACCTGATTATGTTTCTAAGTTTGTCTGTATCATACCTATTTTGTGATTCCACCAAAGTGGCAAACGTCCAAGACCTGCATCACTTCGGGCTTTCCTCCCACATCAAGCGACCGCCTGCTTGGTCAAATGGTCTGCCCGGAGAGCGGGAGGTTGGTGATTAGATCCCCGGTCGTGTACCAAAGACGTTAAAAGATGGTACTTGTTGTTTTCCTGCCTGGCACTCGGCATTTAGGTCATAAAACAAGGACTGGTTGGCTCGGAGCTAGTAATCTGCTTCTGGATGGGGCATCCATGTTAAGCTGCGGCATGGTATCGAAGTGGGCGAGCATGATAGAACCGGACCTGTCCGAACTAGTAAAAACAGCCACACACACGCACGCACGCACGCACGCACGCACCCACACATGCATGTACGTCGCTATTGAGTACAATAATCTTTAACGCGACGTGAAACCCCGTTTCCCCACACCCACATCAAACTGACAGTATCCACGCGGCTATAAGACAACCTAGTATGTCCCGCCAAAGTGCCAAAGTGAGTGTGATATACATCGTAATGTGACTGAAATAATATTCACAGCAGCGTTATACTATTCTCGTTGACTGTCCCTGTACTATCGCTAAACGTGTATGCTACAGCCACCTTACTGTTGTTCAGATGTTCTTCCATATCAAGTGATCGAATGCATGGCTTTGATGCTGGCAAACATTCGGTGTCAACTGGGGG